CTGTCATGTCAGAAAAATAACCCTAATATAATAAACGTGTAACAGTCGACAGTTTTATTTTTATGAGGCACCGGCTGCAAGCAGCACTTGGCCGCACTTGGAACATAAAAATTTAATTTTGAAAGCGAACAAAAAAAAAAAAACAAAAAAAAAATAAAAATAAGGAGAAGAATTTATCCATTCTGATAATTTTAGAAAATGCTGGCAGTGCAACGGCTTCTTGGCATGGGTCTAATATAATCCCACATAAAAGCGGCGAGAAAGGAAGATGGTGCTCATCCATAAAGTTCAAGGCGCTCGTAGATATAGTCGGGAGCTGCTGACATGTTTGTTTTATTTTTGTTGGCTTTTTTATGGGTTGCTGCTCATGGGTTGGGGGTGACTTCTGGACCCAATCAGGCAGCAATTAAATCCCATACCAACGCATTGTTTATGTTATTGTTGAAAGTTTCTCGAAGCACCAAATAAAAAGAAAAGTTTTTTGGGCATGTTTTCGACATTATTAATAGACAAGCTCTGGGGAGGGTGCCCGAGATACGAGTATATACCATTCCATCTAATTCTTTTTGTTTCTCTTTCTGCTCTTTTTTTAATAGCGAGTGCCTGGCATATGTTATTAGCTGTTCCGCTTCATAAGCTCTAATTAACTTCAATTTCACAGAGCAAAATACAAATATAATAATAATAATAATGATAGTTCATAACATATATAAAATATTTGTTAATTTCTACAAAGATTTCTAAATATTTATGGTTCTTTATATAAGTTTATAACAGTTTTTCATGTGTCAATAGGCGTGCACGATTTCTCGACATGTTAAAATGATCATCAAACGTTTCATTCAGCGAACAATCTGGCCAGATTGACTGCAAGTTAGCACCTTGCCACCTATTAGAACTGCACCGCGGGCAATTTCCGTTCGGTATGCATTGCATTGTTCGAAGTTCGAACAAAATACATAGTTATAATGGGCACAGGGGCATAGGCACAGTGGGGCGCCACATGCCGGCCAAAAGTTGAAATCGAAGACAAACAGAACTTGGCATGGGTCTCACTTCTTCTTCTTCTTCTTCACGTGCTCTTTTGTATGTGTGCTTGGTACGTGAGCATAGGAATTAGTTGTTGTTTGGCTAAACAATTTTCAGCGTTCATATGACTGTTATTATGAGAGCTTGGCTCGAAAATTGTGCTAAATGTTTTCGTATCAAATTAGAGCGCTTTGGCATATATTTGCTAGAACTGAAAACTTCCCACAGTATTCTGGCCTTTATGTTGATGTTGTTGTTGTTTCTGTTGCTGTTGATTGTTGTTTATGTACCTGACTCGAAACAGCTGTGCAACAGGTTTAAGCTTTGGTTTATGTTTATTTCGTTGATGATGATGAAATAGAACGCCTCAAATGGGCGTAGCGCTGACCTAATAAAATGCATGCTACAGGTCTAAAATGCAGCGTTAGCAGTTAAAAAGAAAAAACAGCTGATGCGCAGTTTTATGAATTTCACAAAGAGCTGCGAATGCTGCTGTAGTAGCAGCAGCAACAACAACAGCAACAGCCATAACAATTACAACAATAACATTTACAGATATACACACATATAAATACATACATGAGAGCGCGGACAGCTGCAAAAATGAAAACAAAACATAAGCAAAAGCCACAAACCCGTTTTGAGCGCATTCGTAAAGAGAGCGGGTGAGCAGGAGAGTCGGAGAGCGCAGCAGAGCAGCTGTTTCTTTTTGTCTCCTCGTCTGTTTCTCCTAATTCACGCTCTGCACCTGCACGCATACAACACCAAGAGCTCACATACATATAGAATGACTGGCTGTTGTTTTTATTTACATGCATTTATTTTTGGCTGCCAGCTCAATTGCGAATTTCAAATTGCAAATATCAAATGTTCTAAATGCAGCGTTGCCACACTTTAGGCGCTTGTTATTGCCCCACTCGCGGCAGCCGCAGCATCGCGATGTTGCAATGGTCGCTCTGCTGCAGGTGAACTTTGTGCTGGTTTTTTGTAGATTGTTGGGGATAACTGCCGCAACAGCTGCTATAGCTGTTTTGTAATAATAAAATATATAAGTATGTATGTATGTATGTAAAAAACGGTGCTGTTCGATGCGGGCAGCAGCTGCCGGACAGGAAGCGACAGCAACAACATGCTGACGTTGCTTTTGTTGGCCAAGTTAAGTTGGGTTCGTCGTCTGGTATTTGGCGCGACAGCAGCACTTTTTGCTCTTTATGGCAAAAGCAGTGCTGAAAAACTTCGCTTTTTTTATCAGTTGAATCTAGCAATGTATGTAAGTTAGCGGGAATGCCAAATACTAATGGATTTAGCTTGAACTTAAAGTTCTTAGTTCTTAGCTGCGCACACTTCAACTTTTTGCTTAGCTTTTTTATTCTCCTGAAATTATTTGTTGTATATATTTTGATGAATTAAATTGGAAGTCAACTACTACAATATATACAACTACACTTTAAATTATTTAACACAAATTTAGCTATAATTTCGTCAACTTGCTGTTTATTTTTGGTTTCTTTCAAGCTAGCAGCACTGTTGACAATATTTTCGGCTGACACATTTTTGACACGCACCGGGAGAAAACAGTTGACTCAGCTGAAATACACATACACACACACACACTCACAGCAAGTCTGATTAGCAGTTGAGTGTGAAATTCTAAAGTTTGCGCCGCGGAGTCTAATCAAAAGTCAGTTTCTACAGCACGTTCCGAGCGGGTGAAAATATGTCTGCAACTTGAAGTGTGGGAAAATTGATTGCGAAATGGATTAAACTGTGGGAAATGCTTTTCCAATCTAGCGGAAATTGTGCCTGGGCCAGTGCCAGTGCCGGATGCCAACTGTTGCAACTGGACGCTAGCTGTAAATATGTGTGGCATGTGCTTGGTGGCAGACGCCTCCACAACAGCAACCAGTTAACTGGTTTACCTTTGGCCAAGGATGTTTGGCTGCCATTGGAAAAGTTGTTTGGCCGCTTTTCCATAGCTGTCCAAAGCTGGCCAAAATACAAATCATGCGAATCAAACTGGTTTTCCAGCCAAATGGCAAATCGCATCGACTTTCTGACTTATATAAGCGCATTTTTTCTCTTCTAACGGTTCATTTGGTTCATTGCTTGTTGTTTGCACGTCCGATCCGCACCGATCCATTGCCGATCCACTGCTGGGCAGACGACGCCTTTCAACTTTGGCATTTAATGCCGCCGCAGTAGCGGCGCCTAGGCTGACAGTCACGATTTTCCACGGTACAACATAGTGTGGCATGTTACTGTGGCACATTGCCCACTGCATTGTGGTTTGAGGGTGTGGCACAAACATATGTCTGCACCGACATATTGATAGCTATGCTAAGCCACAAGGTATTTACTTGGTCAGCCATCGCATTCATGTGCAACACTTGCCGTGCGCCAGCAACTTTGATCTTTCAACAAATTGCAGAAATTTGTATGGCTATTATATATGGGTTATCTGGGACGTGGCTTAAATGGCATAAAGGTGAATACAGAGATATTCTCTAAAAATATACATACAAATGTATGTGCTCTCTAATTATGTATATGGAATATGAAAACGAAATGATAGAATGATAGATAACACTTTTAGACTTCTTATATTAATGGAAAATTTATAGCCATTCTATAGCTTGCTTCAAATATAATCATCTAATTAGCCAACATTTATTTTTCGGAATATTATAATGTGGATCATTAAACAAGAGTATATATATGTATGTATTTATATTGTAAATCAAATCTTTGCAATACTTTAAAGAAAACCAAAATAAAAATGCAGTTCTCACAGAATTTTAAATCAACAAATTGTAGGTCAATTTTGTTATCACTATTATTAATGTGGGTTTTCTCTCAAATAATATATTTACTTTATGAGAGAACGCCTCGCATGGCCCAGCTATCAATCGCATAGATAAACAGACAGATAAATCGTTAACGGTCTTTTTTGTTTGTTTATGTCTCATTTGCAATCATTTTCCCAGGCTACACTCGAAGTTGCATGCACCGTGTGGCACGTTGTGCACATGTGTCGTCTATAAGTACGAAGCGCCCTTTGCTTTCCCATTCCAATTCCAATTCACATTCCCAGTTCAAGCGTAGCGACATCCTGTTTGCTTTTCATTTCTGTTTTTATATGTATGTATCTATTTGGTGGCACATGTGTCGCTAGATTTCTCCCTGTGTATGCGAGTGTTTCTTTAAGGAATTCTGTTTTGAGTGTGTGGCATTCGGTAGATAACTAACAGCTAGCTGGCAACGCCATGACTAATTCGATTAAGCTGTTGCTCGAAAATTTAGTACAAAAGAATGGAAGCTGAACTAAAAACTGATTGCGGCATATGGCAAATAGTTTAAAACGAGCTGGCAGCACCATAACGAACTTGATTATGCAGAATTCTAAGGCAAAGCAAACGAAGTTGAGCTAAAAAGTGTTTACCTACTCCTAATGTTCCTTTTCTTTACATCAATTACTGTGGTATTTTCATATTAAATATTGTTTCTTTTTGCGTATTTGTCAAGCACTACCATAGTTCTATTTATGATCCATAAAAGCGCCGACTTATCTCGCCTAGAAATAATATGCTTATCAGTGAACTGCTGCTGTTTTATAGCACAAGGTATTTATCAACTTTATGATCTATTTACCTTTGGGGAACTGATTGATTGTTAATGATAAACTAAAAGCTAAGGCGCATACGGTGCATATGCCAATTGGCGTACTTAAGGAATTGGGTCAATGAGCTTTATCAGCAGTTGTGTTGACTGTTTGTGCAGCTGCTTGGGCCGAACAGGAAGTGGAACGTTCCCTCTATTCCCTCTGCCTATCCCTATCATGCTCTCTTTGTTACAGTAATAGAAAAAACTTACGATTTGTTCCAGTTCTGTGATGGGCATATTGTTGACGTTGTTGTTGTTGTTGCCCGGAGTTGGTGAATTGTGTGAAGCAGCCGAAGAATGAGAAGAGGATACGGTCGAAGAGGAGCTGCGAGATGTGGCGCAGTTACTGTGCCCTTTGGTCTTGTTACGGGGTGGTGTTGGCGGAGGCACTGGGCTGGCCAGAGTTGAGCAATCCTTGGAATTGCGATTGGGCGATAAACGTGAGGGAAAACTCAACGTTTTGGTCCACTGTGCTAGACTGCGTACCATTTTGTTTTTGTTTCTGTTTTTGCTTTTGTTTGCTATTGAGACTGAATTCCCAAAGTATTTCTAATAACTCGCCAAGTTTCACTCTATACTCGCACAGTTTATCTTTACAGTTTCAAGCACTCATTATTTGGTTGGTATATTTCACAAGATTGCGTATTGCACGACGCACGCGCGACTTTGCTGAATATATTTGCAGTTATTTGCTTTTACTCTCAGTTATTTTCAGTTTAATGCGCACACAAAATGCGAACCGTTTGCGTCGCTAGCTCGAAAGCAACTGAATGAAGGCAGTCGCCGCGCAGCAGAGCTACCCGAGCAGACCCGGCCTCAGTCGCGCTCTCACACACACACGCAAGCAACTCGACGCGGCGCACTGCGCTCACACACATGCGCAATGCTGTCTCGTGCAAGGGAGAGCGCAAGCTGTAGTGCATTTTAGAGCGAGAGCAATACAAACAACTGAAGCAACGACTGCACCAACAGCATATGGAATCCCTCTTTCTCCCTCTTGATTTGCAGTTCGTTTTTTTTGTCATTCTCTTCGTTTGTTCATGTTGATGAAATGATGAAATTGGCAGGCAGCCAAAGCATTTGTTGTTGTATGTAAAACAGCATTGAGAGCATTTGCTGAATGGTGCGAAAACTATGCAGCCGCTGCATGGATGGCTTGAAACGCAGTTCTTAAAAGGCATTCCAAAGGGGTCAAACTCGTAATGATGTGGTAAAAAAATAATGTACATATTTCGAAAGTAAATATGAAGAAATCTATCAAAATTTGAGGCTTTGCAATTTCATGGTATTAAAACTAGGTTAGAGTTTTTATATTTTTAATAATGCAATAAAAAAAATTTAGAAATATATGAACTGTAACTAAAGTATATATGAAATGCTTATACATATAGATATAATACATACATATGTATGTATGTATAAAATGTACATACCATATATAACTTTCAGATCCACATCTCGAAATAACGACTTGATTTGAAGTCCTTTTCTAAATTGATATACCCTATGTTTATATGCGACAGACAACAACCCCTAACACTTTCCGCTCAATTTGGCAACAGGACACTCGCGTCGGGTAGCTACAGTAATTGCCATGTTTATATGTTTGAATTCTCGAAATGTGGTCTAATGATGGCAACAAGCCATTTCTGTTGCAATTACGCAAACGGATCTGAAATGGACGCAGCTGTTGGCCAACAGGAGAAGGGGACAGTGAAGGGAGTTTGTCAATTTTAACGAAACGCACTTCCGTTGGCCACATACCAAAAACCCACGCGAACATCAATGCATACAGTCAAACACACACGCACACACACACATACACAGAATCTAAAAAACCGGCAACAACGGCCTTGCCAAGGTTGACTGAACATGTTGAGCTGTGGCCCGTTGCCGAAAAAAAATATATGTGTGGCATAAAACAAAAGCGGGCAACAAGAAAAGCTGTCAAGAGAGAGAGAGAAAGAGAGAGAGAGTGCCACAGCAGCTGTCTGGAGAGAGACCCAGGGCAGAGAGATCTCCAGCGTTGGCCAAAACAACTCTTGCTCCTCTCTATGTATCCCTCTCTATCTGTCTTGCTCTCTCTTTCTTTTTCGCTCTCTCTCACTTCACAACTCTCTTTTCATTTAATGGCACAAAAGCCGCTTACAAGCTCAACGTTGACAGCATTTTCATCTGGTTAGGAAATGGGCTCAGACTTTGAAAGTGTGATTACCCTGTAAACAAAATAAGAGCATATACATATGTACATATGTATGTATAATCTTATCAACTTTATTTTCATCAAAAGTCTAATCCTTATTTGAAACTCTTATACTGTCTTATATTACAATATAAGATTATATATAAACTTATATATGTATAAGACATATGCTAGACATTCACTCTTTAGGGTATTTCAAGCTCATATATTTTTGTTGTTCAAGCCCTCGCTGAAAGTACGCGCTCTGTTTGGTTTTTTGGCCAGCTGCTAATTAGTTGGCATAGTTGTGGCCCATTGCTCACTGCACATTCCCGCCAATTTCTAAATTCCAGAGCATCTTGACATCACGTGTCGGCCATAACTGTTGCAGATGCATTCCATTGCCAATCAGTGCGAATGCGCATTGTTCGGGCAGAGGACATTGTGTGGTCGCATAGCAGCAGGAAAATTGAAAAAGGAAACGGGAAACTCTCTCTCTTCATACATACATATGCGTGTGTGTGTGTGCGTGTGTGCCTGGCAGCTGTTTTATTTGGTCGAAACAATGCGCTTATTGACAGTTTGTTAAAGGTGTCGCATGCATTGGCAGACAAAGGATACTGCGTAGTATCCTGTATACATACATACATACCTTCTGTAGCCATGTTTTATGTATCCGTCATGCATATTTCCGTAGTGGAATAAAAGAATTTCAGGCATTAAGGAATTTGTTTCCATTTTGCTTTTGTGTGCAGAGAATATAAACATTTTTGTGGAATCTCGCATTTGAATATGAGAGATTTTGCATTACTCGACCTATTACTCATATTCATATGTATAGTCTGTAATATGTTCTATGCACTCTAGGCAAATATAGCTCTCTTTTTCTACAAATTAATGTTATTTTATTGGCATAGTTATGATATCATGCATGAATTATGTTCAGCTATCGAGAATAGATGGAGAGGAGCAGTAGAAAATGTCCCCATTATAAATGGGTTATGTTATGTTTTTGAGATGTATGAGACCACAACAGACATTATCAAGCGGAACTTTCGTAAGAATGATGTATATATTGAAATGTAAGATGTCATACTGTGTCACTTTATACAATATAAATACCATATTATATATTATACTTATATATATATGTATGTTTTTATATATGTAGTCTACTACGCCATACGAAAGTTATCTTTTCCTACAGTTCCTTCATATTATTTCCCACTCTGTGTGAATTTTCACAGCCAATTTGGCAGCAATATTAATTGGCATTTAATTAATTTTCATTCAATCATTAATAATCAGAAAGAAAAGGGAATGTAAATTTGTTTTACATCTTATGTAGGAAAGTCAATAACGTTGTGAATTTGTAATTTTCCCAATGTCAATAATTAGATGCCTAATTAGCATCAAAGTTAATTACGAAAAATTCCAATTTGTCTGAGATCATAACATGCTCCACAATTTATGTATATATATTTAATTTTGTTATACATTTAACAGGTTAAGTACATCCGTTAACAATAAAATATTTCCTCTTCCACTGCCAATCAAAACATGATTTTGCTTAATTAAGAGTTTAGGGGCAAGAAATACACAGAAAAAATAAAAGCAAATTCAAAACTTCAAACTGATGTAATATTAATACAAAGAAGAGATATTTTGAATGTTGACGATTGAATACTCTATGTAAGGTTATTTGGTATACGAATATTATTGTTTTCAGAGGAAGAACTTTGATGCCTCGATAATCAGGCAATATCTCAATGTTTATCTGGATAGAAAATAGAGCTTCAATTTTTAGTTTAGATCTAAGCATACTACATGATCTATTTATAAAACTCCATAATAGAGTATATAACGAATATGACATATAAAAAAAAAAAAAATTTTGTTTTTTGCTTTCGGAAACTTCTCATAAAATGGGAAGGCGTGCGCCTAACCATTAATCTCTTGCGTAAACATTCAACATTTAACATTCATAAACAAGAAGTAAGATCAAATATTTGTGTGCAAAGCTGATAAAGTGGCTGTGGCTTATCAAGCCCGCCCGTTGGGTATATCTAGTCGCAACCAGCAATCAGTTTGTCAATTTGTCAGTCCATCAAAGGGACCCACATCAGTTTGGAGCGGATCTACCGATAGAGAGACAGAGCATGGGAATGGGCGTGTCCTGGTTTGGTCTATAGACTCTATATTATTTCCATTTCCATTTTCATTTCTTTTTTCTCTTTTTTATCTGAGCTACTTTTTTGCTGCTTCTTTATTTTTGTTCACTGTGGACACTTCGAATGAAAATATTCTGCGGCTTATCTAAATTCCCGAAAATTCAGTTGTTTATTGTTGTTGTTATTTTGTTTACAAGCAAACAGCTTGCTGTTGTTGTTGTTTTTTAATTTTATTTTACAAATCAACACCTCGAGTATCAATTACCCAGAGCGAGATGCAAAGTCCCTTTGAACTAGTGAGCTAGAGAGAGGGAGAGAGAGATATAGAGAGTGAGGTTGTTAGCTGGGCAGGCAGCACTGCGTGAATCATATTGAAGTCTTCTCTGTGTACATTTCTCAGATGCGTTCAGACCCGTTTTATCTACACTAATTAAAGTGTGACCGACCGACAGACAGACGGACCGACGGACTGCTGAAGACGTACTGGCAGCATTCGTCGTGAAATGTAAATCCTCTCAGCTATTTATTTATGATCTTTTATTATTCCTACTGATGACAAACTGAGCGAAATAGCAAAAAAAAAAGGCGAGCCTGGGCTACCGCACACGCCGATCCCTATCCGTCTTCCAATTCCAAGCCCTTGGCCCTGTGCGATCTTGTCTGGCATTAGTTGCGGATGGTTAGCGTTGCTAAAAGATATTCAGACAGCAAAGCGGTTGAAGTACTGCTCCCTGGGTTTCTGGGAAGCCAAAGTGCACAGAGGCTGGACTCGGACAAAGTAGCAAAAAATAAAAGACTGTGGGAAGCCAGTTCACTTAATGGAAATAGAAATATGTTTATATATGTTAAATATTTTGGGAATATTCAAAAAGAATAGCTAAATAAATAATGAAGGTTAACATATAAAATATACGTAATAAATGTTGGGAAATACCAAAGTCAAATATTATGATACATTTCATGAGAATAATTCTTGCAAAATATTTAAGACTTCATATATCTAAAGTCTAAAATCTTAAAATAAGTTTATAACTAAAATTAAAACCAGAGCATCTGAAATTGATGTTGAAACTTTGGAGTATATCAACAATTTTTTTTCTTTTTTTTTTTAATATTAAATTTTAAAGCAATTATATTTTTTTGCCTTTTACTTAAAGTCATGCTCCTAATCTTTTGATCTATTCGAGGTATGTGGAACAACCATAGGAAGTCAGTCTTTGTCTTGTTGCTAGAGCCGCTGATCTCATTAGCTGTTAAGTTATGTATCAAATGTCTAAATAATTGGAATGCGTCTGAGTTCATTTGTGGTATGTACATGGTTTATTTGTCTATGGTCCGCAGCTGACATGCACCTGCCACGTTCCCCTCTGAGACGTTGCAACTTCATTAGAATTAGCGCCCCAGAATGCGAGGCAT